TTCGCAAAACTATAAGTATAATGTTATAATGTTTGTGTATGTGTACATATCTATATTTATGCGGGTTAAAGAATTATAAAAAAGAATTACCATATCGTTATAAAAAGAACTACATATTGATATATATATGTAAAAGAATAAAATGATTCCTCTGTTATACTAAGTTAAACTCTGTTAAATTAAGTTATACTCAGTTATACTCAACTATACTCAGTTATACTCAGTTATACTGTGTCGCTATTTAACTACGTACTGTACGTACGTATCTAATGTCACTACAGTATTTAAAAACGTTAATCATTTCTAATTTCGTTGATTTCGTATGCAACGATTTCTTCAAATTGTGCAACAAGCTGAGGCCAAGGATCTAAACATTCGTAAATAACCATTTCCCATTCGTCATCGCTCATCTCACTTCTTGGACAAATCAATATCTTTTTAAATTCATCATACAATGTTTTTTCTTCCATTGATCCATTATTATTTCTATGATTATTTCCATTATTATTTCCATTATTATTTCTATTATTATTTCCAATTTTATTTCCATTATTGCCTAAATTATGATCCTGGTATGATGTAGATTCTTGATGTTCGTAAAGGTGCTCATGAAGTTGTTCATGAAGTTCATGTTCATCAAGTTCAAGTGGCATATCAAAATTTTGAAATGGTATATCATCTGTTAAATGATTTCTACCCAATGTACTTCCAGGTCGTTTTTGCACTTGACTCATTGATTGTTGCGCATTTATAAAAAATTGGGGATACGAATTTAAAATATTTTCCATGATTTTCGGTCGATCTCTTATCATTGTTATATCTATAATCTCTGTGATTTCTCCATTAGATAATGGATAAATTTCTTCTTCATATTCATATTCATATTCATATTCTTTGTTAATTTCAGATGCAGTCATGTTATCATTGAACCCAACAATTTCTTTGAAATTTGCCAAAAGTTGTGGATTCATCTCCAAGAACCTTGAAATTTTATTCATCCAATCCAAGTCCGGAATACGATCACGTGGCGAGTAAAGAATTTCAAGAAATTCTTGCCATTCTCCATTTTCTTCTGAAGAAAAGATATTATTTTTAACCATTTCAAAATATTCTTCATTTTT